GCTATACGCAGAGGCGGTTTGAGTATACTATTTTTGGTGCACTGCACCACCAATGTTAGGGGGGTGGGTGGTCTTGGTTGAGCATGTGCTGACCGCAATGTTTAATTTTAATGTTCAATAAATGAAAAAAGTAATAAAGTACCTATAATCAATGACATATGATAAATGATAATCGTGGCTGAAACTGTTGAAAGCGTCGAGTTAAGAATATAAGGGCCTTATAATTATAAACTATAAACTAATTAAAAAAAATATTTATTTGAAATTTCTATGATGATGGTGGTGGGTTGGAGGTGAATGGGTGTCTATATACTGTCTTGGCGTCTTGCACCACTAAGTATAAAACATTCAAAACGCCTCTGGCTATAAGTTATAAGAGTTGAATGTTTTATACATTTTTAACGACCAAAGAATTTGTAAGTTTTGAATTAAATTAATTTTGTCAAATTTTTAACCTTAAATGGCTATAAAAAAAAAAAAAAACGTGCCAATGTATTTTTACTATTTTCCAACTATTATTTTAAAAACTTATGGGGAACCTTGTATTAAATTTTCAAGTTTTTGATCTCCAGGCTCCAAGGGCTGCATCGAGGTTGTGTGATATCCCGTGTTTGATCCTTTCTTGATTATATACTTTATACAGTCCGATATGATGTGCTTGACAGTGAGATTTGTTCCGTAGGTTGTGCAGATGGGAGGTTCCTCTTTGGCCATGAGGAAACCATGAGTGAATCTAGTGTGTCCTATCCGTAGTCTATTTATTACTGTTTCTTCTTTTCTTTTGAGTGAAGGGTTATACCATTGGGTAGTAATTATTATTTATTATAATGTTTAAGTAATGTTTGTTAATTTTTAGTGCATATTTATACAAAATATACATTTTCAAACTTTAGATTAAATTTAATTGGTAATTTAAAACATTTTGCTACTATACTATTTATCATATTTTGTCGATTTTGTCAATTTTACTATTTATAATTTTATGAACTCCAATCAGTAATAACTAATAATAACTAATTGGTCAGTTGGTGTATTACATCATCATCGCGTTTATTTTGTGAAGTCTGTAGCCTTTTTCACTTAATAATTGTTAAAAGAAATTTTTGGTAATTTTAAAGGACATCATTGCAGTTCAATACATTTTAAAGGAGATACTTGCTATTTTAGAGTATTATTGCATAGTTTTTATTGCATTTATTATACTTTAGGTTCTAATATGATTTATGATTAAAAGTGCAATATAAAAAAAGCGGGTTAGTCGTGGATGTCGCTCTGCTGTACTGTAGGTTACTGTAATGAATGGGATTAAATTTGAATGCAATGATAGGTATCATTGTATACGAAAAACGATTCTGAACGGAGATGATTTGTCAGTCTAGGATATATTATATTTAAATATTGTCAT